ACTATGGAACCGCTGTGCGGGTCGTTCTCCAGTACCGGCTCAAATAGTCCTAGTTTTATGAACAACAACAACAACAACCAGGAGAGTACCGATTACCCGCCCGTGAAGCATACGGACGCCGTGAAGCTGTTCATTGGCCAAATACCGCGCAACTTTGAGGAAGCTGACCTGAGAGCGTTGTTCGAGCAGTTTGGAAAGATTTACGAATTCACCATATTGAAGGACAAATTCACCGGTCTGCACAAAGGTGGGTAACCAGTGTCAAACCGACCGTCAGGTGTGGAGTTCCCGCCTGTCCCCTAGTCGATGATGACTCTACTTTTGTTGCTTCTCATTTCAGGATGTGCGTTCCTGACCTACTGTAATCGCGAGAGCGCGATCAAGTGTCAAACGATGTTGCACGATCAGAAGACGTTGCCCGGTGTAAGTGTACGTCTGCATGTGTATGTGAAGTGAATTATGATGACCAGAACTGTCCTACTGACCTCTTGAGGCTAGTGGAAATTCGGACCTTGCAGCGCTGCTGCAAGCCATGAAGAATTTCTACCATAGCCGATGTTTACACATGCAGTGGACAGCCAAATTGGTCTCTTCGATTTTTCTCATATCTAACGTTTCGAAATGGTTGACTGAGCAACGCATTCTGTTCGTCGCCGACGCCGATTACCCGATAGCGAGAAACCCGACATCGATTTTTGCTTTGTGTCGAGGCGGAGGCTTCATCATCGACTTCGATTCCATAAAACGCGTCACGTTGTCCCTTACTAGATGTGAGGTCGCAATCACCGTGTAACTAATTACTATCCTTGAGCTGTAGCACTGAACAAATCTAATAAACCAAGCTAAGGTGCAATAACATCCGTGACGCGGTTTGTGCTACTGTGAATGTCCCCTGTTCAGAAGGCAAACAGCGGTGAACGACTGGCAAAGGCCAGCGTCTGTCCTTTGTGGTGATCTCGATTCGTTAACAAGTGAACCGGTACAATTTTCTGTCTATAGTTAACGAATCAAGGTCAGCTGAGTGCATCTGTTCATCATAGCTCAGAACAGAGCAACGTATCTTTCATGCTTTCGATGCCACTCTACAGTATTAATTACGAGTACTACAGAGAGGTCAGTGTACTGGGATGAAAGTGTTTCATTAACAGATAAAAATTCTAATTCAATATAGCGAAGCGTTCTGCTAAGCTTATGGTATATAAGATAACTGCGCGCAACCGACTATTGTGACCAGTTGTGCAAAGTCTACCCAACTGATGCGTACTGTGGATTATATTTTTACCTCGTCACCTTGATGGTAAGTTAATTATTCTAGATGGTACCTCACTGGGATGTTCCTGCTGATATATTCAAGCTGATAAACAGTAGGAGCTTTACTATGTCTGTTACCAATGTGATTGTGAAGTTTCGCCTGGTGGGGTTTTC